ATGCTAGATGAGATACAACTCTTTAGGAATTAATTACAGTTCTTGTTCTCACAATGTTATTATGCATTAGGACACTATTTGGATAACCTGAAAGCATTTTACAGTCCTTGTGTGAGTACATGATTGGTAAAGTAAAAAAACAAACAAACAAACAAACAACCCTGACTGAGAGCCTGTGACAGCATTCTCTCTGATTTTAAGAAATGTTTCCTGCCTAGAAGGCAGCTATATATTGATGGGAATGAGTGCTCTGGCTCCCAAGATGAACTACAAATCAGTATCCATGTGTTAAAAAGTAATGATGTATTCGACTTTCGAATAGATGGGAAAGAAAAATTCAGCATTGCTGGAACAAATATATGTGAAGCAACATTCTGATGTACTAACCTCTTTTTTTTTTTTTAAGGATTAAGGAAATCTTATAAAAATAGAACTAGTGGACTATTTAACACCAAATACATTTCTTAAAATTAAACTTCATATAACTGCTTCCATGGCAAAGCTGTTAATGAAAAGTATATTGCTGTTAATTAGCATTTATGCCCCGGTATTGTTAGAAACCATACAACACATACACATAGTTAATTGATAGCTTATAAAAGGGATATGGAGAAGAGAGAAAGTTAATACCCAGAGCTCAACCTTATGCAGCCGTGACACTGGACTTTCTCACGAAGTTTTTCCCCATGAGAGTATAAGAAACAGGCAATGCAGGAGTAATGTGCTGATGCTGAAATTTCAGCTTCAGTCAGGACCATGGCAAGACTCAAGGATTTCAGTCTAGAAGATGCCAACAGATGAAAAAAGAATCTTCCTCCTCATTACAAGTGTGGAGAGAGGGGTATCCTGGCTGGGTTTTCTGAAACTGAAAACACCTATTTGCATAAGGATAGGAGATATCTGCATCTCACTGATGAAAATAATTTAGGAAAAAATAAAACCAGTGGAAAAGTTTCAAAAAGCATCTTTTTCAGTAAAAAAAGCAGGAGCAATTGCTAATGCCATTTTTCATTTTAAAAGTCATCTTTTACTAGCATAAAGGAAATAATAGAGTATAAAGCTCTCTAGTAAGTTCTCTCATGGCAAAGTGACAATATGTTTGTCAGCAACGAACTGATGATAGCAACAAATGTGTGCATTAGTAGGTTCCTTGGAGCTCAGCAAGGACAATGAAGTGCCCTTTCAGTTCAGAGGTGTGAAGAACTGTGCTGAAGTTAAGCCTAATTATACTGCACACAAAGAAGTTTATAACTGAAGAATGAAAGAAACTGAAGTAAGGAGACATTTCAGTCTGTGGCTCCAGAGGTCGACCCAAATGACCCTGCTAAAAGGGGACAGCTTGCTTCTTTCTACCCCTCTCCCCCTTATTCCTGGTCATGTGAAGTATTCCCTCCTTTACTTCAGCTATATCAGTTGAGGCACCTCTCTGCAATCACTAACAGAGTAGAAAATTATTTTTGTGTTTCTGCTGGCTTAGGTTTTTTTTCTTATTTTAGAAGTTCCAGCTAGGGAGGTTTTGACAATCACTGGAGCTGCAATAAAAACAGCATCATGAGCTTGATCCTGGGACCTGTGGGAAAATGAGAGAAAGAAGCCAGTTCTCTCCTTTTCAGTAGCAGTGAACTGCTAGATCAGCTCTCCACATGTGTCCATCATACCCTCTAAATCAGTAGCGCTGACTTTCTAGTCTGCAGGCTTACTCTCAGGCACAATGACCTTAAGTGATGTCCCAAAATAGGCAAAACTGGCATGGCTCAATTGGAAAGAGAATCCTATTTAAAAAACCACAGGTGCTGAGTCAGTAAAGAATCAGAAGATGCATATGCAAAGCATTGATGCTGGAAGACTTTTAAATGAGACAAACCCCAGATACCTCCTGATCAGTTGTCATCACCAGTGAGTCCCCGGGTTCCCTCACAGTAGAAGTGCCATTAACACCAGCATCCTGATGATTTCCTAGTTTCTGGAAATTTTCAGCCTGTGCTGTGAGAACATTTTCTTTTACTTATCTTTTAAATGATTGATCTGTAGTGTTGCTGTACTAAAAAAGGGCATCTACTTTTCTTTATCTCTGTACACCAGGGAATTAATGCACATTTCATTGTACCTGCCATGGACACATCAATAAACAGAAAAAGCATGCACATATATCCAATGGTATAATAGAAAGGTTTTACTCAACATGGGTTTTAATTGGCCTATTTACTTTGAAGTGGTGACTATACATTCAGATTACTTCTACAGATAACCACAAATGAATGCCAGTAATTTTTTTTTACAGTACCATCTGGTCATGTGTTCTTCTGCGTGTCTGATTCTGTATTGAAAATGATTTTATAAATGCATTACAGAGGTTTTAAAGGCTTTTAATTGGTACCAGTTTTCCTAGGGGGTACTATCTCCCTATTACAGAGCCAAACTCCTTACTATTATAAGAGTATGTCTATCCTCTGGGGAAAATTATAATTAGATGCTCCTGGTGGTTGGTTCTCTTGTAATAACCTTATGTTTGTAGTCCAGTATTAACTGTCTGGCCCACAGACTCGATGCTTTGCAGGGATATGCTTTTGCAATCTCATTAAAGTTTGTACCAATCTGATCAAATTTCAAATCTTTGGAAAGTCAGCACTTCATCATTCTGAACAATATGTTGTAGATTTCAATGGTAAATAATCACTAAATTTTTGTCCTCACTGAGCATGCTCTCAGCCCTGATCAAAGTGGGCTGGTGCTTCAAAGAACAAGTAAGGATACCATAGTATAATGCTACACCAATCAGAAAGACATTCTTTAACAGCAGGTAGGCCCATTGGCTTCAAAGTGAAGCCAATAGCAAGGCCCACTGGCTTCAAAGTGAAGGTAAAGACAGCTATTCCTCCAGCAGCCTAATCATGTCTCCCCTCTTACCACTCACTGGCAGAGGAAGAAGCCACCTAATTCAGAGGTGTGGCTAAAAGCAAACCAAGACTCCAGGAAAGAACAAGATGGGTGCAAAGAGTCTGCTGAGAGTAGAGCTTTAAAAGTAGACGAGAAACTATAACAGACCTGGGAAAGGTGAATTCAGTGATGAGAAAGAACAAGAAGGCTGCGAGCTACATTATCAGGTGAGGAGGAACACCAAGAACAGAGAAATGGCTGGAAAAATAGAAGAACCTGGACTAGGACGTGCTGAAGAAGGTGGAGATTAGAAACAGAAGCTATTGGAGTGGTAGAGGAAGAAGACACAAGAAGCTGACTCTAACAGGAGAACAAAGCCTTAAGGACAAACAGAACGAACAGTGAATAGACACTGATGGGAAAGATGGGTCAGATAACCATCCGGGACCTGGGACAGGGAACATAGGACTAGTTGGCCAAGTAAATTTGGGGGCATCAGGGACAATAATAGAATTTAGACTGGCAGGGAGAATAAGATTAGGACTAAACCCATTGCAATAGAGGCCCCTTCACTACTGCAATCTGCAGGTGTTACTGCACACAAGTTGCAAACAATTACTCTTGGCAAACAAAATATTTAAGATGGGTTAGGTGGTGACAGGCTAGACAAAGAGTTAAACTCCCTTCGGTGAGCACGGATTCATATGGGTGTGCTGGGAAGCAAAATCCTTCCTACATTCCAGTCATGCATAAGCATAAGGTGCAGAGGCTTGTCTGTCACAATACTCCCAGTTAATATATGGAAATTCTTAAGGAAAGAAATGCTGTCTTGGTCTTGATTCCTTCTCACTCCAGATTATGGAGATAGATCCCAGAAGAATGTATTGGAATACCATGAGGAATCCATTTCAGAGCTCCTCTTAGCACAAGAATCATTTCACTCTGTCTGTATCTTCCATTTGGTCAACAGCTGGGAAAACTCCGATACCTTTCGGGTCAGCCAAACCACAGCTGTAAGCAATCTGATCTGTGAGGTGTTACACGGGGGAGGTCTGCTTAGGAGGCCAGATAAAGCAGAAACTTCTACTGTAACACTGGCATAGCTCCCTCACCCACAGTAAGCAGTTCCTGGTATATTTTTTCCAGAAAAGGAAAAAAAAAAAAAACCAAAACCCACAGAAGTCAACTTCACCTTGAAACTGTACTTACAGCTATTCCTTTATTTTAACTTGTTCATTTTTGTTTGGGCTTTTAGCGTTTAAGCTACGGAGCCTTATGGCATATAAGTATATACATGTTTATGACTTATGAATCATGACATTTAATTTTCTTCATCAACATTAGTAGGTGTTTGTTTATAATAACGGGCCAGAGCTTATCTCACTCTAGACAAATTTCATATTACAGAATGATTGCTGAGCTTGGGAAGGTGTGTTCATTTGCATTTAATTCTCTTTTGAAACAGTGAAATTCTGCCACCCTCTGGACAACAACTAAACTAAGATATATTTACAATCAGCCTCAAAAGTAAAAAATCCCACTGCTGCTGATAAACATTCATTGCTTTTTAAGCTCATTTTAAAATTAATTACTAGGCTGAATGAAAAATAGCAGTTACTATTAAACTACAGACAAAACAATTGCTTTAAGTACTGAATAGCCTTCTTACTAATAGTATCTAATCAAACAGCAAACTTTAAAGTGTCCTAGTCTTAACCTTTTCTAGTAGTCACTTCATTGTTCACAGTTGTATTTTTAAAGATCTGCTACCAAAATATGACATAATTTTTCATCATGCCAATATATATTTCCACAAACCAGAACATTCAGGAATTATTAGCGTCTCTGTGAGTGAGCCAAAAGTAAATACACATAGAACAGAGTTCAGTGGGAGAAAGAAGGCTAAGGAGAAGGTTGCATTATGGCTGATCAAATTAGCTTTAAAAAGTATCAATGAGAAAACATGTCTCTTCACATGGCACGCAGCACTTACTGCTAACAACACTGCTAGTCAATGCATTAATATGATAATTTGAAACAGTAAATGCCTGTGCAAAGTTTCAACTTGTGCTTCCAGGATTAGTGTGGGGAAGGAGGGCTGCAGCACATATGTTGTACAGTACCTTGTTTTGGCTATGGAGCCTATCTGCTGTTGTTCTTGGATGAGCTCAGCCAGCTGTTTTTGGAGAGACATATCTTTACCATGTACTTGTTTAATAAACGGATGCTCCAAAAGATGGGTGACTGAAGGACGCTTTTCAAAATCCTTGATAAGACACCTGTGACAGAGAAATAGTGGTCTCAGGCAATTATGTTATTTCATTACAGGATTATTTGAATCGGCTTACTGTGCAGCTGTTATTGTACAGTAATTTCTTTTTCCACAAATTTGAGTTCCTCATTATGCAACAAGACTCCTCCTCTACATTGGAATAAATCTGGCAATGAATTTGAGCTTATTTAACCTCTCTTTTTACCTGTAACTAGCTTACTATGAAAAAAATGTTGCTTACTATGCAACAAGTCTCTTCCTCTACATCGGAATAAATCTGGCATAAAACACTTAATTAAGTGAATTCACCCTACAAGTACACTAGTATAAAGGCTATGAATTTGAGCTTATTTAATGTTTTAAACTAAGTAGCTTACTATGAAAAAATGGCATCGTATCTTGTAAGCGCTGTACAGTTAATATACATTAAACATAACCTAAGATGAATAGACAATACTTCATTCACTTTCATTTTCTACCTATTCTCCGAAAAGAGTTTGACTAAGAACTATAGGATATAGCCTACTAAAAACCACAAGTGAAACCTGTGATACAACACTAGTCAGAACAATTTGATATAGAGCTTTGTTTTGTTTTTAAAATGAATGTTTCAGGTAGATCTTCTCTATTGCAATGATAAGTGTTAGCATAAGAATCATAGAAAATTCTGCAAACCTACATAATTCAGACTGGAAGAGAAATTAATGAGTCATAAATAAATGCTAGCCAGGGTACCAAAGTTCTGTCTGTGATAGGAACAGGTGATCTAGTAATGAGTAAAGAGATACATCCTATTAAATTAGCATAAAATAAAGTATCATGCTAATTTATGTAACCGAGATTTGAAACTGAGGAAGCCATCATTGAAGTTGAATTCTTTTCTCTACAATAAAGCTGAAATAATACAGTCCAAACAGAAGAATGATCTAACAGGATTAGACTGCTTTAAAGTACCCTCTAATTCTTTATATTAAAGTATACTGTTTATCTTGCTCAATAATAATATTAACATTATTTGAGAATGTGAAAAGGAAATGCTGCAATTCAGTATATATCTCCCTTCTAGCACCTATCATTTCAGTGAATTATAGCTCAAGTTGAGTTTATTTGATGAAATACATTCGTATTACATACTTCACAATTGCAACTCATATTTGCTGGTATTAAGTGATACACCTAAAGTACTTCCTTAGCAGGGCCAAATATCACAAATAAAGATTATCTTTTTAGCAAAAAGTTCAATGAACCTTTAATACTTTTTAGAACAATTTATATTCTAGCAGTATCAATAACAATTTGCAAAATTTAAACTACCTCTAAAAAAAAATCATACACATTAATTGATTTCAAATACTACCAAACGCATTAGAAAATGATTAAAGTTTAGCCTCACCTCAAATACTTTACTGAAGCCTAAAGTCTGGTCTTAAAATGATCCTGAAATATCTTTGAACATAACTTTAATACTTTAGGTTCCTGAAAACCATTTTCGCAACCTCTTCTTGGTACATGTAGTCCAGAAAAGACAGTCTGTAAAATGTGCTACCAGTTATAACTATCTTGGTGAATTTTGCTATAGGCTAGAACTGTAGCGTCCTGATCGAAAGACTAAAGTAAAAGAACGTGCTTTATCTCGATCCCTCTGAATGCAAGGCTATAAATACCAGTCGTTCCCCCACCATGAAGAGATCCATCATTAGCCTTCAACAGGTTCTGACACCCCACCCCCACCCCTTTTTCCTTTTGTGATCCACGGTTTTTAAAAGTCAATACACCCACACAGACAATATGGTCCATGCCAATCCTGGTTAAATTTATATGTTTCCTGAGAAAAAGGAAAAAAGCATTTGAAAAGAAAGATAACATTAATCAGGAAGGCAGAAGAAAAAAAACACAAAACAAAACAACAAAAAACTATGCAGTATACAAAACCACAGATTGTTGGCAAGTATCTGGAGATTTCAGTCTGAAAAGCTCATGCACTCATGTGATTTTTACCATTCTAACAATAATTACAAATTTATAGTATTTATGCTATATTGTTAATATATAAATTTTCTTGTTAAATTTGATTACATCAGGAATTTTTCAGTAATATAACTGAATCCAAGTGAAGCTATGTCATAGAATCATAGAACAGTTTGGGATGGAAGGGACCTCTAAAGGTCACCTAGTCCAACCCCCCTCCAATGAGCAGGGACATCTTCAATTAGACCAGGTTGGTCAGAGCCCCATCCAACCTGACCTTGAATGTTTCCAGGAATGGGGCATCTACCACCTCTCCGGGCAACCTGTTCCAGTGTTCCACCACCCTCATCGTAAAAAAGTCTTCCTTATATCTAGTCTGAATCTACCCTCTTTTAGTTTAAAACCATTACCTGTTGTCCTATCACAACAGGCCCTAATGTCGTGGCAGTTGCTTTTCAGATAATAACAATGTTAGAGTTTAAATGGATTCTCTTCAAGAAATGACACAGTTCCAGACAGAATATCTTGTGTTTACCAAAAGTGTGAAGAACATACAAATCTTTTACCTGGTGGCATGTATTTACTAACATGAATTCTACTCTGAGCTCTGGAACAATGCATCTCCAAAGACACTCTATGGACAAGATCCAGAAGTTGGAAGAGAAATTTTTCCATATAGATGGCCCCTAGGTGAAACATCCCAAAGTCCAGGATACTGCATTCATTAAGGAAGCCCAACAAGAAGAGATGGAAGGAAAACATTTTAGGCAAAAAAGTTCTTAGCTTCTCTATTTTGTGCCTGAAATGCTAGCTGTTTAGGTCTGGCAAGTGTTTTAATGAACATAGGCAAGTTCTGTCAGGGAGGTGGTCTTGAAGACTACTTTAGGATTACCTTTGCTTCTGCTGCATACTCCTGCCAATCACCCGCTGACTATTCACTTTGCACGCACACTACTCTTCTGCTTTGCAACTATCAAAGTTTATATATTGTTTCATCTATACGCAGCCTTCATTCTCTGGTAGCAGGATATTTTTGCAATCTGTGGTCACTTAGGATTTCACTTGAAACACAAGTAAAACTTCATGAATTCATAAGATGACCAAGGTAATGACACGACACATCCACATCATTCTGTGATCAAAGTCTCTGTTCCAGGCTCATACAGAGCACACCTACTATGGTGCTGAGTTTGTGCCTATATTGGAAGAACAGAGCCATTTCAGATGGTTAGTGAGATGCCACAACAAAACAGAGAGCTAGTAACTAACTGCCGTGCAAGGGTGAAGCACAGCAGCTTAAATTCACATCTGTAACTTCTCGTGTGAGTAATTCTACTCCAGTTCAGGGAAGAGACTGACAGGAGAATGTACCTCTCCACTGAAGTTGGTTTAATCCATTAAGGTAAATGAAAAGTTCTGAGCACATTAGGAACACAGCAGCAGAAAGACCAGGCAGGCCACAGGGAATTGAAGTATGTATGGCATATACACTCTCCTTTTGCTTTGAAACAGCAGAAGTGTTGACACAGTCAGTTCTAGAAATTACTCCTTATTATGTTTCAAGTGCCAGTAACTGGCTTGCAGCTTAGTTGCAGTAGGTACTGGGGGCTCAGTGCGTACTCGGACATGCAGTGCCAATCTGGTGTATCACCAGGCCTGCTACGATGGAGTGCAGGATGGAGAGCTGTCACATGACGCTGAAAAGACCGTCCTTATGTTTGTCCTCTTGGTGCGTATTCCTTTGTCCTAATTCCTCTCTATGTAGATAAGACCTATTAATATTCTGAGGTATATTTACATGCTCTGCTTCTACACGCTGTCGTTTCAACTGTGTTGCTTTTAGCGCCACACTGAATGCGTGCTGCTGCTGTTCTTAGTCAATGCTACCTGTGAAACAACAATTCTTGGGGCACCACCTACGTGCTAGTGGAAAAATGATGCATCAGACTGCCAGTGTCACTGCAGGTGTTCAGTAAGGTATCTATCTCCTACACTAGAAGCAGTATTGACACTATACTACTCTTCAGAAAAAAATAATTTAATATAGAATATCAGCTCTTACGACGCTAAAGCCTGCATGAAGGTGAGCATTATCACAGTGTTTCCTACTGACCTGCACCCTGAAATAGAACTATATCGTGTGAAAAAGTTAATCATATGGGTGCCTGAGTCCAAAGTTGCCAGTACATTCAGTCAGGAGATGTATTCCATGTAAAGGTCAGAAAAAAAGAAATCAAGAAGTAATACACAAAAATCCAGCACTATTAATATTTGAAAGAGGAAAAGTACAGTAACAAAACAGCCTTTATAATGTCACTTATCAGAAAATATTCTTATTCAATGCAGCCAACAGGAATCCGTGTGTGTGTTGTGCAAGTAAAAAACAATATTAAGAAGTCATATCACTGAAGGATTTGCTTCTGAGGAAAGGAGAAAACTAAAATATCTCCAGGTGCTCATCTGAGCATTCGTTTAAGACCAATTTGGACAGTAAGCTCAGACACTGTCAAACATCAACCATGCTGCAATTACATACAAAACCAACAAATGTGCTGCACCTGCAAATTAAGCCAATTTGTTTGGCCTGTAGAAATTACAAAAAAAGAAAAAAGTGGTAAGACTGCCTTGCATTGAGCAAATTGACTAGCAAATCTACTACAAGATGGGTTTCATATAAGGTATGATGAAAAGCTGATCATATCTGGTCTGTTATTTTTTGGATCTAAAATAATGGTAAGGCCAAGTAAGTAGAGATTGAAAAGGAAACAAATATTGTACATGTTTGCCTTGATGAAAGTCAATCCATTACCTAATTTGAAATTCTAGTATCTTCCATCATGCTTTCTTAGCTGAAAATTAATTCTCCGAATTCATTAGTGTCACTACATTAAACACAGGTTGCAGCCATTTGCTGCAATCTCACAGCCAGGCTCCTAAGCACCATTTCCATTCTGCCACAATTACAGGCAAAGATGGAGCATTTATTAGCAGGGGATAAAAGCAGACTCCCGTACACACAGGCCCATCTGACACGACCTC